ATTGGAACCAGTCTCAGACATATGTTGGATTCATCAGACAGAAAATTTAAAGTAACTATGACTAATATAAGAAATATTTCAGAAATAATAGCTGAGAATTTTCAAAATTGGTGACAGACACTGCTATGGTCTGAATGTGTCCCCCAAAACTCATGTTTTGGAAACTTAAGCTCCAATGCAACCGTGTCGCATGGTGGGGCCTCATGGGAGGTGTTCAGTATTGAGGGCTCTGCCCTCATGAAGGGATTAATGCTGCTATAAAAAGGACTTGTGGGAGTGGGTTTGCCCCTTCTGCCTATTGCCACGTGGGGGACACAGCAAGAAGGCCCCCACCAGACGCCAGCATGTTGATCTTGGACTTCCCAGCCTCTAGAACTGTGAAAAATAAATGTCTGTTTTTTATAAGTTTCCCAGTCTGTGGTATTTTGTTACAGCAGCGCAAAACAGACTAAGACAGGAATTGGTACCAGGGGAGTGGATTATTGCTGCAATAAATACCTAAAAATGTGGAAGTGACTTTGGAACTGGGTAGAGGCTGGAACAGTTTTGAAGTGAGAATTAGAAAAAGCCTGTGTTGCTGTGAATGAAGCATGAAGGGCAATTCTGGAGAGAGCTCAGAAGAGGAGAGCTGTAGGGAAAGCCTAGTCTTCTTGGAGATTACTCAAGCAGTTGCAAACAGCATGCTGGTAGAAATATGTATAGTAAAGGCAATTCTGAGGAAGTCTTGGATGAAAATGAGAAACAAGGTGCTAGAAACCAGAGGAAAGGCCATCTTTGTTACAAAGTGGCAAAGAACTTGGCCAAATTATGTTCATGTCCTAGGACTTTATGGAAGGTAGAACTTAAGAGTAATGAATTGGGATATTTGGCAGGAAAAAAATCCCTAAGCAGCAAAGTGTCTTAGGAAGTTGCACAGCTTCTCTTAACTGCTTATAGTAAAATGTGAGAAGAGAGAAACAATGGAAAGACAGAATTTATAATTAAAAGGGAAGCAAAACATAAGGATTTGGAAAATTCTCAGCTTGGCTATGTAAAGAATAAAAAGGCATGTTTAGGAGAGAAAACCAAGTATGTGGCCAAGTGACATTTGATGAGGAGATTAGTATAGACAGAAGAAAGCCAAATGCTACTCATCAAGACAATGAAGGAATGACCCCAAAGGCATTTTGGGGATCTTTGGGGGCCACCACGCCCATCACAGGTCCACAGTGTTAGGCCTGGAAATATTATGAGAGCAAACAGACAAAAGGAAATAATATTGAACAGAAATCAGTGAAATTGAAAATAGAAAAACAGTATACAAAATCAATGATGCCAAAAGCTGACTCTGATAAAGTCATAAAATTGATAAGTCATTGGTCAGGCCAACCAAGAAAAAGAGAGCGAAGACACAATTTACCAACATCAAGAATGAAGGAAGGACCATCACTACTGATCTCACAGACATTAAAAGAATAACAGACTACTACAGACAGCACTATGTCCATAAATTCAACAATTTAGATAAAAATGAACCAATTCCTTGAAAGGCTCAAACCACCGTGACTCACTCAAGAAGAACTACCTAGCCTGAATTCACCAATATCTATTAAAAAATTGCATATGTAGTTTTAAAATTTCCAGAAAGGAACTGCTTGCCTAGATGGTTTTACTGGCAAATTCCACAAAACATTTAAGCAAGAAATAATGCAAATTCTACACAATATCTTTCAGAATATAGAAGAGGAGGGAACATTTTCCAATTCATTTTATGAAGTCAGCATTACCCTAAGACTCAAATCAGCTTGCACATTGCAAGAAAACTACAGACCAAGATACGTCATGAACATAAATGCAAAAATTCTCAACAAAATGTGAGCAAATTGAATCTATCAATCTATAAAAAGGATAGGATAATATGTGACCAATTGGGGTTTATCCCAGATCCCAGGAAAGAAAAGCTGGTTCACATTAAAAAAATCAATCAGTGTGATTCATCATATTGTATATATTCATTTCAATAGGACCAAAAAGAAATCAATGAAATTCATGAGAAAACTTTCAGAAAACTAGGAATAATATGAGGGAACTTCCTTAACTTTGTGTAGGAAAGCTGTGAAAAATCTACAATTAACATCATACTTAAGGGTAAGACACTGAATGTTTTCTACTCTATGATTGGGAATAAGGCAAGGTTGTCCACTCTGACTATCCCTATTCAACATCACACTGGAAATCATAGGTAGTGAAATAAGCCAAGAAAACGAAATAAACGGCACACAGATTTGAAAGGAAAAAGGTAAGACTATCTTTATTTGAAGACAACGTTGTTGTCAGTGTAGAAAGCTCCAAAAATCTACAGAAACACTCCTAAAACTAACAAGTAAGTTTAAAAAGGTCAATATACAAAAGCCAATAATATTTCTATATTTTAGACATGAATAATTAGCATCTGATATTAAAACAATACCATTTACAATTGCGCTGAAATAGTTAAGTACTTAGGACTAAGTCTAGCAATGTGCAGGGTTGATATACTAAAAACTACACTGATAAAAGATATTAAAGAAATCTAAATACATTGAGAGCTATGTTGTGTTCATGGTTTGGAAGTATTAATATCATTAAGATGTAAGTTCTCCCCGGTTTAATAATTCATCTCAATCAAAACCCCAGTAAGCGTTTTATAGACAATGGCAAACTAATTTTAAAACTTCCATGGAAATGCAAAGGACTTAGAATAGCCAAAACAATTCTGAAAAAGAAAAAAGAGGGCTCACATCAAAGGATTTCAAAGGATTACTTTGAAAACCCAATAGTAATCAAGACAGTGTTGAATTGGCTAAAGGATAGACACATAGACCAGTGGAAGAGAATGAAGAATTCATAAATAGACCCACAGAAATATTGCCAGCTGATTTTTGACAAAGGTGCCAAGGCAATACAATGGACATAGGATAGTCTTTTTAAAAATGGTAGCTAGAACAATTGAACACCTACATGCAAAAAATGAACTGCCTCAAACCCTAAACAAAAATTAACTTGGAATGGATCATAGACTCAAATGCAAAACGTAAAACTGAAAAATGTCTAGAAGAAAACATAGCGGAAAATTTTTGTAAGTTTGGATTTGGCAATGAGTTTTTAGATACCACAATAAAACCACAGTCCATAAAAGAAAAAAAATTGATAAAACTGACTTTATCAAAATTGAGATCTTTGCTCTGCCAAATATATAATTGAGAAAATGAAAAGACTGACATAGAAACAAGGCACAGATTGGGAAAAAATGTGTGAATCACATATCTGACCAGTATGTGTATCTAGAGCATATAAAGACATATTAAAATTCACCAGTAAGAAAAGAAACAACTCAATCTAAAAAATGGTGAAAATATCTGAGCAGATATTTCACCAAAGATGATATCAATGGCAAATAAGCATATAAAAAGATGCTCAGCATCATTTAGCAGAAAATGAAAATGAAAACCATAACATGATAGTACTATATACCTATTAGAATTGCTAAAATTAAAAAAAAATTGACAGTATCAAATTCTGGTGAGACACAAAGCAACAGGAACTCTCATTCATTGCTATTGAGCATGCAAAATAGTACAACAATGTTAGAAAACAATTTGGCAATTTCCTATAAAGTTAAACATACACTTAACACATGATTGGGAAATCCCACTCCAAGGTATTTACCCAAATGAGTTGAAAACTTACATTCATACAAAGACCCACGTAAGAATGTATTATGACAACTTTATTCACAGTCATCCCAAACTGTAAACAACCTCGATGTCCTTCAATAGGGTAATGGAAAAATGAATTGTGATATAGCCATTCAATGAGCTGTTATTCAGCAATAGAAATGAATGTGCTATTGATTCACACAACAACATGGATGGATCTTAAATGTATTTTGTAAGTGAAAGAAACCAGACCCAAAAGGCTACATATTGCATGATTACCTCGTTATGACATTATGTAAAATACATATCTATAGGGATAGAATCAGGTCAGTGATTGCCAAGTTTGAAGAAAAGAGGAGGGGTTTTCTACAGAGAGGCCGGATGGGACGATTTTTAGGGTGACAGAACTGTTCTATATAGTATCGGGGTGGTGGGTACATGGCTCTGTGCATTTGTCAGACCCCACAGAACCATGAATTACAAAGAGTGAACTTAACTCTATGCAGCATAAAAAAAATCAGTGAGGATGTCAGGGGGTATCCCAATAAGAAATTCAGAAAAAAAATTATTTGCTGAGCAGCAACTTTTTAAAAATGTCAAGGAGTAGAAGAAACAAACAGCAATAAATATAGTGTCATGACTCCAAAAAAGTTCTTGTATAATTTCTTCACTTTTGTCCACTGCGGTGCATTGTGTTAATGTCAGCTCCTGAACAGCAGGGCCTGTGTTTGTCTCCCTCTGTAGGCCCATGGGTTACAGTACACTGTTTCTAAAACAGGGAATATGCAGATCAATAACCCTTTTAAGGAGAAAAACCTCCCATGGTTTTTCTAAGATGTCTAATGCTGACCTATTTCATCACTTCTTTCAATAAACATGTTTAATTGTGCAAATATATAAATTTTTATGCTTACAATTCTTATACAGTTAAGAAACCATAACAAAATTATGAATTAGGGACAAAGATCTGTAACCTCGATAAAGCTCAATCTGATAGCATTAAATTGATGAAACTGAATCACTGCTCACAATCGGACACTGCTCCTGAGGCCTGTGGTCTGGATTCTGAGGTGGGCAGGCATGATTCCTGCTGGGACTCTACGTTTCCCACCTTTATTCTCTCTTTTAATGACTATGCAAAATTCATTTTTACAGAATAGCTTCGTGTCGTCTAAGACAGCTTGAAAAAGTTGAGTATCACTTCCCACATGAGCATATTCATAACGACTGCCAGGCCCTGTTATAATCTTTCTATTCCTATCTGCACCTAAACTGTGCTAAGCAAAATTCCATTTAAGTTAAATTTGGCCCTTGTCTTCCTAGCAGCCTAAGCGTAAAGACGTCACAATGCTGCAGACGGACAATTCGCCCCTGTTGGAGGAGCGAGGACTTTGTGACTGTGGCGGACGACTCTGCTGTCTGTTGTCCTGAGTCTTTGCCTGCTTCAGAGAGTTCTGACAGGAGGAAGATGCAAACACCACCCTCAGGTGGGATTTCAAAATCTTGCACCACTACACTGATCTGTTTTGAACTATTTGGAACTCCCTAAGGTTATAGTAATGCTTTCTACTGTGCTTTCAAGACTGAAAGAAAAATCACTTATTAGTGGACGGTTCAACCAGCGACTTAAATAGAAATTATTTTTTTAAAAACATGCTTGATACCTAACTCTGTTGATTACCTGTGATTTGGAGAAATTCATGGCATTACAGTGAATAGTTAAGTTTAGTTAACTCTGGAGGAATCCAATGCTTTGCTATAGTTCTTATGACAGGAAAACATGCCTTTGAGTTTTTGCAATGGTGCAGCCAGTTTGCTAAAATTGGGGGCTGGACGAAGGCTGTATCAGGGAAAGATGCTCATAGGCATATTTTTTCTGCAGTGCTGAGTGGCGTGGCTGGTTGGGCCGCTCAACAGACAAGATACTCAAAGGTCTTCCTGCCCCTTAGTGCCCTGCAAGTGCCTCCAACACACACTGCGCTTCCATTTCCTCGCCAGCAATGCAAGGAGGGATAATGGCGACGAGTTTCACGCAAGAAGATGCAGGTAACGTGCTTAGCACGGAGGCCATGCTCTGTACCGTTAGCTCTTGTTATGGCCACACTTAACATACTGGGTTATGGTCACCCATTTCCTATTTTTTTGCTTTAAACTCAACTGGTCTATTAGTCCTTGGAGGGCAGGGGCCATAACTTATTTCTCTCTGTATCCACAGTCCTGAGTACACAACAGTCAATCAATGTGTTTTGAACTGAAGAGAGGGAATAGAATTGGAAAATTGTTCAAGAGAGAGCAAATTGAAGAACACAGCCAAGCAAAGGGACAAAAATGAGCAATTTTCACTTTGGACTGCAGGAAAGTAATATCTGTGTGCTACCTTAGGGTCAACCTCTGTGCCCATTATTTTTTCATCTCAATGCATTTAACAAATTATTCCTCACAGTTTCTTTGGGCAGTAATTCTGTAACTATGGCTGCTTTCTTTCCTACAAAATAGACTTCAGTGGTAATAGGCAAAACAATTTTTTAAAAATCTTACCCTGAAGTGCTGGAAATGTTTTTGATGTGGGTGTTGGATACATATCCTATATCTGTAATCTTCAATTTGCACACTTTATTGTATGTGTGTTATACCTCAATACATTTTTAAAAGCCCTTTGCCCATCAATAGCGATTCCTTCCGACACGTTTACAAGATCACCACTGCTACCCTGGCAGTTCCTTTCTTGGTACCTGCCAACCTACTGCTCCCAAGGCAGCCTGTATCTACTTAGCATATAATCACAGGAAATCTCCTGCTACTCGCTTTGAATACGCAAAGTCCTTAAGGCTTTGAAGCTTTTTGTTAAAGAGCACCCAAAATTAATGTTCATATAATCTATCCACCAGAGGGAGCCAACAAAGCCAGAATAATAGGAACATTCTGACCTTAGCAAGCCATGAATCAAGATTTTCAAACAAGGACTGCAGAGTTTAGACACAAGCAAGTACCAATTGCCTGGTTCCAAGCAAGGCATGTGAAATTTTACTGAATTCAGATTTCATTCTTGGCTTCATTGTTCTCAACAGTAGGCATGTTTTAACGGCATGAGGCAAATGACATTGAGGTGTTAACACTAATAAATGCCTAGTAAGGCTATGGGCAGGAAAATGAAAATAGCTCACCTTTAAAAAACAGTTTGCATATTCTGAAGAATTTTCAGTTGGAGATGTGAAGGATGGCAATTCTTCCCCTTAATATAATAATTTAATTTATGAATAAAGATAATGCCTGTAGGAGATGAAAAAATAGTTTCCATTGCATCAATGCAGGGTACCACTAGCATAAATGTAAATTATAAAAAGGCACACTGGAGAGGTCTGGGAATGGTTTGGCGGACAGAGCATGGGATGGATTGCAGACCCCACCGTCCCCTGTTAGGCAGCTCTGTGTGACAGTAACGTCCGTATGTGGCAGCCCCCAAGTCTGGGCAGTGGTGGCTCCAAGGGGATACTTGAGACAGTTTTTAATCCTACCTTTCTCTCATTCTTTGAAAAGTAAAGACAATGATATTTTCTTTATCTAATGTAAAACACAACTTCAAAACTAGTTGCCTACCTGTCTTCTTCCAATTGGAATGCTGACCTAAGTTCTTCCTGTAGAGAAATTCTGGCACCACCTCTGAACTATGAAAATAGCCATTTTCCATCCTGTTCTCTGTTTCCAATCTACCCTGCCAGAAAGGTGCTGCTCATAATTCCCAAATTGCCTTTTTCTTTATAATTTCCATTTCCTGATCACTCCCTAGTTCCTTACTTTTGTAACCACTATCTCCCCCAGATTTTCTCACTGGTTACAATTTTTTTAATAGGAGGAAACTGAAACCAGGCATTCATTTGAACGTCTTATATGGAATCATTCTTGGTCTTACCTTATTTGATCTGATGATAGCACTTAACACTTTTGATCACTCCGTCCTTCAGAAATAATTTCTTCATTTCGCTTCCAGAACACAGCTCTTTTGCTTCCCCTCCTTCCGCCCTGGCTGCTTCTTCTCAATCTCCTGCACTGGTTCCTGCTTGTCTTCCTGATGTCTAAGTGTGGGCAGTGGTAGCCACCCTCTCCTCTGTTCTGTCTACACCATTGTCTAGATGATCTCACCACACATTGATCCCAGACAACTCCCAAGTTTATATCTCCCCCAGCCTTGCCCTGAACTTCACACTCATATTGAGCTGCCCACCTAATATCTCCATTTGGAGGTTTAAAGGCATCTCAACCTAGACATGCTCAAAATCAAACTCTTAATTTTCCCCTTCCGTGTGCTCCTCTCACTGTCTTTGTCATTTCAGCTAATGATATGTCTCTTTTTGGTTGCTCATGCCAACGACCTCAGAGTCATCCTTGGCTTTCTCTCATGTTCCACATCAGCAAATGCTGTTGATTCCAGATGTGAAGTATGTCCAGAATTTGGCTACTGTATACCACTTCAACAGCCATCACTCAGATCTAAATCACAGAGTCATCTATTGCCTGGAATATTGTGATATTTAATAGTCTTCTAAGTCACTCCCCTGGTGCTGCTCAACCAGAGTTGACTATCTTCACCACAGTGAGAGTGATCCTGTTGTAACAGAAGTCAGGTCCTGCTTCTCTGCATGGCACATCCCATCGCACAGAGTGAAACCCAAGGGGCTTAACAGGACCTGTGAGGCTCTATGTGGTCAGTCCCCTGCTATGTTTCTAAATAACGCTCAAGCCTTCCTGTCCTTGCAGCTTCTTTGGACATGCCAAACCTGCCCATAGCACCTAAGTCTTTGGACTTGCCGATCTCTCTGTCAGTGTTTGTCCCTCAGATGTCCTCAGGCTTGCTCCTTCAACTCTTCCAGTCCCCATGTTGATGTCATCCTATCAGGTAGGCCTTCCCTAACACAGTATGTTAAATAACACCTGCATTCCTATCACTTTCTGTCTGCCTTACCCTGCATTAGCTTTCTTCATAGCACTTCTCTCCATTGTATGTGGATGTGTTTAGGTATATGTAGATATAATATATATATATATATATATATTTGTGTGGGTATATATAATATATATTTGTCCATTTGTTTAATTATTGTTCATTTTCCCCACCAAGAATGTAAACTCTGTCATAGAAAGTATTTTGTGTCATTCATGTTATATCCTTAGTGCCTAGAACAGTGCCCAGCACATAGCAGGTGTTTGATAAATATTTGTTGAATGAATCTAGGCAGTTTATATACTAAGAGTTATATACAATATGTAAAATAAAGTGTGTTAAGCTTTGCCTTAAATTTTCCTGTGTTGCCCATGCAGAATTGGGCATCTTGGAAAGCATTTAGAGGAATACAGTGTTTACCCTTGGAGCATAGTGGATACCACATGAATATTTGATGAATGGTGGAATGAAATCTGCCATCTTTGTACTTGAGTAGATTGCCTGAAGGTAATTGGGCAAAACAGGAAGCTGCAAATCAACATCATTTAACCATTTGTTGTGTTGAATCGCAAAACATTATATTTACTGCATTTTGTGTTTACTAATTGCTATCAGATTCTATTATTAAACAGGATTTGTACACATGTTATGTGCCCATCCAAATAAGCGTATTATGAATGTCATGGTTCATTATTGCTGATGCCGAAGAATCCAGACTGATGTCTTATGAAGGAATACCCACCAGGGAAGTCAAGAATTGTGCTTCTATGTATCACCGCTACTGCCAAAGATAACTGCTTATGTAACGATTCTTGCCTTGATGTCAGTTGTTCACATATTCAAGTATATTTACTGAAATTGCATCCATAATGTAAATGACATATAATTTAAATACACTTGTGAAAACCAAAAGCTAAATTCATTTAAAACAGAATATAATTAAGGTAAAATTTTTACTTAACAAAAAAAAAAAAACACACTAATAGCTAAACTGTTTTGTTTTCTAATTTTTAATTTATTGTGATAAGAGCACTTAACATGAGACCTATCCTTTTAACAAATGTTGAATGTATAATACAGTATTGTTATATATAGGCACAATTTTATATGGTAGGTCTCTAGAACTCATACAACTTCCATAACTGAAACTCTATATGCAGGAAATAGCAGCTCCCAATTTCCCCCACCTCCTAGCCTTAACCCCATTCTACTCTCTGATTCTTGAGTTTGACTGTTTTAGATGCCTCACATAAGTGGAGTCATGCAGTATTTAGTATATACATCCAATGGAATATTATTCAGCCTTTGAAAAGAAAGAAATCCTGCAATATGTGACAACAGGAATGAGCCTTGAAGACATTATATTATGGCTGTAAGAGAAATAATCTGGTTTATAGCAACCTAAAGAACAATACAAATCTAAATTTTTCCTAATATTTCCTTTTCACAATTAGTGTTTGATCTTTATATTTAAAACAAGCATGTAGAGGTAAAAATACAATAAGCATGTTAATCAGTTTGTACATTTTAATGCCTATGTACTACAGAGGCCACGAGCCGTGGTGAGGAGGGTGTGCGTGTGCCTGGGCATGGACCCTGGCCCTGCCACTTCCTGGCTGTGGGTCTTGAGCAAACTCTTTTGTCCTCACATTTCTGTTCCCTTATAGGATTGTTGTGAGGAATAATGAGATGGTACAGGTAAAACACGGACAAGAGTGTTGAGCAAAGAGTAATCACTCAATAAATACTAGCTATTGTTACTAGCTACATATAATGAAAATAAAGTTTCGCCATCACATTTGCCCTTTGTAGCTAATGGGCTGAATTAATCCAATTTGCACTAATTTGTCAAAAATATCCAAATAGTTTCCCTTGAAATTACTCCCAAAGAAAGAGAACCTTTTATACCTAGGAGGAATGCTTAGCATCTTCTTTAGAGATGCCAGTTTCTCTCCAGGAATCTGCTGATTGTGTACACTTCAGATGTCATAATTGGTACTCAGAGCTCTTAGAGATATTTCCTTGGTTATTGCTCAAAAATAACTCTGAGAAAGCCCATAGGAAACACTGGCTTCCAGTGCGCTTCATTA